GGCAGGTTTTCTCCGAGTACTTCGGTTTCCCCTGCCAATCTTCATTCCGCCAATTGCTCCACAATCACCCTCACCTATCATCTGGGGCTGGTACAATAGGCCAGAAGTGGCCGCAGTACAAGGAACTTAGTCCCACCCCACTAGCAATAAAAAACTAATAAAAATTTTTGTAAGAGAGTAATTGAAATTATCATCTTCATCATCTGTCTTCCTCTTCGTCTTCTGCGTCGTCCTCCTCCTCTTCCTACACCTTCTCCTCACCCCTCCTCCTCCTCCTCCTCCTCACCCCTCCTCCTCCTCCTCTATGTAATGACAGACCAATGCGCTGTAAGCCCTCCTGTTTTTGAGGACTTGAAAGACTCCTTGGACGGGGGATCTGCCCTTCGCGAGGCCTTCACGTACACAGCACAGACAGACAAAAAACAGAGATGCTTCGAGCAGCACTCGAACCCACAATCCCGGTAACCCAGCTGTAGAAGACAGTACATGCCTTAGATATTACAGCCACTGCAGTCAGTAGTTTGTTACAACGTTTAGATTAATTTTAGAACCGAAACAGGTTTCCCCTTTCAGTTATATACCCTCTATAGATGGGAGACACAGGTCGATGCAGAGCCCATATATATTGCTACCGTCAAAAATTATATTGGAGATAGAGATGCAAATTCAAACTCGGGAGCCATCTGTTTACTTGATATATTACCCGTGACAGCAAAGAGTATAGACAATTTATAATTACTTTATATTTTGTTCGAGGGAACCATATGTTGCTGACGTCTGTGCCACGTTCTTCTGCTTTGGTGAAGACTGCCTCTTTAATTTTCTGATGATGATCGTGTTTTCCTTTTTCTGTAATATTTCTCTCTTATTTCACTGTGTAGTGGCATTCATCCCAGACATGTTACACTTCTCTTCGTTTGGTTACATCTCCCGTACTTGTATTATGAAGGAGAGTCGGTAAATGGAAGAAAACGTAAAACATATATTCAAAGCAGGAAAAAACATTTATTTCTCCTCATATCCTCCACCAACATTGATACACTTATCCCATCGCTTTACCAATGCATCGAAACATCATCATCAGGGAAAGTTCTCAACGTTTCTCGACCCAGATGTGAACCGCGTTATGCGACAAACACTTCCCACCGTAAACAGGAAATATTTGTTTATGAATATCCTTTTCATTTAGTCCTTTCGCCCACAGAAAAAGCACACACAGGACCCTGCTCTTATTTGGTACACTCCTCAAGCACGGTCACCATTTTGACTACCGAAACCAGACCCTGAACATGCACATGTGCGTCTGCTACCTAGACTGTCGTGGAATTGGAACGTGATGCTACCTTGTGATACACGTAGGAAACCTATTACGACCATTATAGCTGTTTTACTTCCATGTGTGACCTATTTACTTGGCCGTCTGTCGTGCGTTTCTGCTTGGTGTTTCTGTTGTTTAGTGTTCAGTCTGTCCTCAGAGCTGTATTTTAGTTGTCCCAGTGCTCAGTTAAGCCCCGTACCATGAAGATATGTGAAGTTTGGGGTATCTTTCCACGCATGCTTAACCTCGGCCCAAGAGTGATCAACTAGCTCCAATTGCAATCCATCCCCGAGGTGGGGGTTGCTGGAGCAATGGAAAGTAGGCTGGGTGGGCCCAAATATCAGTATGGACGCTGTGGAGATGAGATTACCCAGTCTTTCAGTCCCCATACCGACTGCGCGAGCCGTGCTCCGGTAAGGCTGTACCTAGAACAGACGTCATGTTTTGGTGGGCGAATGGAAAGAACTGATGTTGCTTTGTATGACGAGAGTGAAGAGGGACATGCTGATAACTGAAAAAGACTATGAAATACACGAACAGTTCAAGCAGAATACTATTTTACCGGCCAAGATTTGAACCTAGTGTCACCTGAAAACAACCCACTCGGATTTAGAATTCTGATCAGTGTTTACCGACCAAGATTACCGAAATTACTGAGTAATTAATAAATGCTCCCCAGGCCAGGCTCGTGGCCATGTTAGAAATAGCTTGCAATTGATCACTTTACTGATGTAGTCGAACCCAGTGCTCATTGTAGTATTGTATTGGGCCGTTCCCTAGTTCAGGCTGTTAGTCGTCCGCTTCCCACCAGATCCCAGGTCAAATGTTGTAAGACCTTTTCTTTTTTTTTCTTAGTGGGGTGGGACTAAGCCCCTTGTACTGCGGCCACTTCTGGCCTATTGTACCAGCCCCAGATGATAGGTGAGGGTGATTGTGGAGCAATTGGTGGAATGAAGATTGGCAGGGGAAACAGAAGTACTCGGAGAAAACCTACCCCAGAGCCACTTTGTCGACCACAAATCCCACATGGCCAGACCCGAGCTCGAACCCGGGCCGCCGCAGTGGGAACCCAGCGACTAACTGCTTGAGTTATGGCGCGGCTTTTCCGACCAACTTTGCTCGACACTGGAACTCATTGCTGGAGTTCTCTGATCACGGTAACAGTTCTGGGTTTTATAAAGGTAAGGAGTTTCTTGTGTAGAGGAACGACTATCAGCTTTCTCGAAATATCTGTGCCATCCATTTTCAATTGCCTTAGTACTACGTACGTTTACAGTTTCGCTAGCTGGGAAGTGTGCTGAGAGAACACAACGTTTGCACCATGAACCGAGTGCAGTAGCCTCTTCATACCGAACCGAATGCAGTGGACATCGCGAGACAAGACAGAATGTCATCTTGGACAATAACCGTTTTTTCTTTGTTCAGAGAGAACGTCGGGTTATACGTCATACTTTATTTACTGTTTCACTGTCGATTGTCTCTCTCAAGACCAAGAAACATGAACATGGTAGGACGAAGATGGCATCAATGTGTTTCTCGCAATTCTACTGTTCCAGGATTCCACTGAAATGGCACATCCGCGTCTGTTTGACTGGCAATGAAGTTAAATTGCAGTTACCCGACATACTGTGTGTGGTATAGATGTAAGCGCAGCCTTGTTCGTAAGGTTTAAGGTTATAGCAGGCCATTGACACGCGGATTTATCTTCTGACTTCAAGTAGAGCTGCAAAGACGTTTGTTAGTTTTGCAACCTACGAAACTATAGGCAATCACTGACGTGTGCTGTCTGCCCAGATAGCTGAGTAGCAACCTGACGGAACGGATTTCATGTGTGTTCAAAGAGGTCTCGGGTGTAATTTCATTTTCCAAAATATGTTGAAAACAAAATCGTTTATATTTACAATGATGACGCAAAGTTCTACGTCATTGCGTGCTAACGGCTTACCTTCTAAGACATTTTAGACACAGTTTTATACGGAGGCTGTTACTAGGACCGAAGATTTGACACCCTGTAGTTAAAACCTGTGTTGGTGGTTAAAACCGTCGAAGAGTCTGCAGAATTCCTTTTGGCCAAAATTTGTACTGTAGTTTTCTTGTCAGCAAGGAAGTTATGAATTCGTGTAAAAAAGGGTATTCGAGTGCCCATGCAATAGTCTACATTAATAATTTAATATTAATGAATACCATTCTGTATTTCAGCAACGCGTTGCAATTGTTCAACTAAACGTCCATTATTTGACGTCCGTCGATATTGCAACACTCTCCCATTCACCACTCAATTGTTAGCTCAACATTATACACCTTGACACTACATGTTTCGGCCCCAAACGGCCATCTTCAGGTGTCTTGATTTGTTACAATTATTTTATTTTATTAAATTATGTTAAAACTGCTACACTGTTTTAGTCCGTGTTAAAATCACACGCTGCAGTCCTCTTTTCAAGGTAAAACCAGATAAAATCCTTTAAAGTTTCTATTGTACCCACGTTATTTTGGTGCACATTATTTCACCTCACACGGGGTGTCGTCCCTGTTCATAAATGTATGTCTGTCCAGGGTGTTTTGTCTCGGCGGCTTGCTCCTCACGTTCGTGGCCTACTTTTCAGTTATGTCTGCCATATGCCCCTGGTTTGCGTGTTTCCTCAACAGCGTGTGGCGTTGTCTTGTGGCCGAAACATGTAGTGTCAAGGTGTATAATGTTAAACTAAAAATTGAGTGGTGAATGGAAGAGTGTTGCAATATTGACGGACGATAACTAATGGACGTTAAATTAATGAATACATCTAAATTCCTTTGTAAGTCTGTTAAAAAGTTGTTTATATGAGATGGGAAACTGTCATCTTGCACCTCGTGCGAAGAAATTAGCCACAGAACTACAAATCATCACATTTCTAACAAGTTTTAAATCCTTATGCGTGTTTGGGGTCCGAGAGTTAGAAATTGTGGTTAAACTTTTCATAACAAGTGTGAGCATATGTAGATTGGGGCGGCGTCTGCCCACACACAGATCTGGACTGTGAGGATCCACAGCTGTTGGACAGATTCTGTGCGTATGTCATGTTCATATGCGTACCCACCGTATCCTTGTGTAACTCTGATTCATTGGGCAGTTACGGTGCAGGGATAATGCGGGCGGGGGTGGGGGGTGCAAGTTCCAGTCTCATGGACACCTGTTATGCTGACGTCACAATCTAGATTATGTAGGGTCGATGATAGGAGCGGCAGGTTGAAGGAGAATTGGCATGGGAAGTACCAGGAGAAAAGCTGTTACTGTGTCAACCATAAACTCCACATGACCTGACATGTGTTTCGAACCCGGGCCCCCAAGGAGGGAAACGGGCGATTAGCCTACCCTGATTGAGATTTCTCATGGTTTTCCTTAGTCCTCGACCTTTTCGCTCCAAATCCTTCCCCAGTTTAAAATTCATCCTACCATACAACACTGTGCGGTATCAGATACTGACAACACTGTAAAATAAACCACACACATATGTATTGATTGGCTGGAATTCTCAGTATCACTTTAACAGAAGAAATATGTTGGTGTTGTTTACATATGCAGGCCTTCTTCCTTCAGGAGATCTCTTTCCATGTTGGTTCGGAGTTATGTGCTGCAGGCCAAGCATGGTATCTGCAGTGTCCACGCCGCCCCTACATGCTCGCCGTCTGATTTGCGTTGCAGAGCCCCACCCCCCCTCAGTACGTGTTCTGGTACCACAACGACCGCATGATCAACTACGATACATCACGAGGAGGCATTACCGTGGAGACGGAGCCAGGCCCCAAGACGCAGAGCCGTCTGACCATTCGCGACGCCCACGACACCGACTCAGGCAACTATACATGCAGCGCGTCCAACACGGAGCCGGCGTCTATCTACGTCTTCGTCTCCGAAGGTAGGCCACGACCAAAGTTTTCACTGTTCTTTGTGTCATGGGGGAAAGTCATCATGTCATGTCTGTCCCCCCCACCCATATTCATGAATTTACTTGCTGATGTACCCAGTTCGAATCTTAGGCGGAACAACTGCTATTTTGACGGATATTCTTCATGGTTTCCCTTCGTCTGTCCGTCCTCGTACAACACCGCATTGCATTTTATCTGTGACGCGTGAAATGCAGAACAAACAGACAGACATCCGTACGAACTCGCATGTCGTTTCACTGGAAATCCAATGGTAGATATAAAAGCAATCCTGGAGAGCTGCTGCAGAGGCTTAGCATGAAGACAGTTTGCCAGCAAGAAGCCATTTTCGCAAGAAATAAATGGAAAAGCAATGACTGTACCTTTAAAACAACTTTGGATGTTTGTCATCACGAAATATTGATGCGGATTGTTACGCCATCGTTAGAAAGTTACTAGATTTTATTTCCAACACAGACAGGAACCAAAATTCCCACACTAGAGACCTAATTGAACGCTTATTGAAATTATGTTGCACATTTCAAAGATGTTTTGGGAAATTATCCTTCCATGTTTACTATAGAAAGAGAAATGTGAATATTTTGCAAGGACACTTGTGGCCTAGTAGGACGAGTTTGGATGCCCTTAGTAACGAAGGACTTACTGTACTTCTTTTGGCTTATTTTGGACTTCACCCATCGTCTGGTATGTAAAAGACAAAAAAACCACGACGTTTCGGAGACTGGATCTGTCTCCGAAACGTCGTGTTTTTTTGTCTTTTTGTCTTTTACATACCAGACGATGGGTGAAGTCCAAAATAAGCCAAAAGAAGTACAGTATACACCATCGTCAGAATCCTTTCAAGTCTATCCGAAGGACTTGCTGCTTACGTAGTTCACCTAGTAGGTCCTATAGTTAGAATAGTGGCTTCTGAAAAGCTACGATGGTGTGGGTGAGTGTGTGTGGTTAGGGACGCTTCAACAACGATGGCTATAGGCTACAATAGTCTGAGCACATGGCTTGCATGGGGGAGATCAAAAAAGTATGAGGAACTTCGGCAGAGAAATCACTTGGCAAACGGCGGGTAACGTAAAAAGAAGATCGACTTTTACGAAAATGCTTTATGAGGATTTACTTACTTATTGAACTGAGCCCTTCTTGAGGAGTAGCCAAATCTGCAGCTACTCCAGAATTTCCCAGCATTTTATGGAACCAGAAGGTTCATTACCGTGCTCATAAGAGCCCTTTACTGGTCCATATCCTGAGCCAGATGAATCCAATCCATGCCACCCCATCCTATCTCTCTAAGATTATTTTAATATTGTCCATCCACCTACGCCTTGGTCTTCCCAGTGGCCTCTTTCCTTCTGGCTTCCCAACCAATATCCTATATGCATTCCTCGTATCCCCCATTCGTGCTACATGCCATGCCTACTTCATCCTCCTTGACTAGGCTTTATAAGGATAAAAGGAGAATATGATTGGCTCAGGATCGTAAACTTCTAGATTCTGTTATCTGCTACTTGCATTATGGTCGTCTTGTAATGGTATCCATTTAATCGCCTGGAAGTATTCAGGGACACAAGGAATAGTAAATTTTAGGGCTACCCAGACTTGGAATCGATCCAGCAAATTCTCTAGTTTCTAGCCAGACGAATTATCACTGAGTTAACGTTTTCGGTTCACTGACTTTGCAGACTGTGGTACAGGATATATCAGTATCACAGTGGAAGTTGTGCACTCCTCAAGTTGCACATTGCACAGCGAAACTTTGTTTTGTTGGAAAGCAACAAATGCAGGGTCTAGAATGTATTACCGTCACTGAGTACAGGATGAGTCTTGAATATAACGGCACATGTAAGGTCCGATTCAAATTGCCAGGCAAGATTTTGCAGGAAAACGAAACTTTTGTTCACGGAGGGTCGTACTGCCATAGTTTTCAGGGTCGAATAGTAAGCCAGATTTGCTTCGCTTTATCTTCGACACTGAACGTGGAGATAGTAAATTCCTCTGAAACGTTTGTAAACTTCCAACGACAACACGGCGTCTTATACCAGAAGTTTGATTTTCATGGTCAACACTGTGGAAACGTAAAATCCAACGAAATTCTTGTTGCTTTCCTGAGGAGATCCTAGAGGAATATTTGTGCTTTCCGTCATTAAACACTTCGTAAGTCACTGTGCCACAGTCTTGTCAGGTAAATGATAGTATGGTATTTTAAGTCGAGCCACGACCGCTTCCTTCCAAAGTCTTTCATTTCACCATTTGCTAATCATCGTCTTGTTCAACCTCTGTAATCAGAGCTGCTGTCATTGGCACTAAATAAACCTCAATTATAATCAAGTAAATAAATTATATTTGTTACTACGTGCTTTCGAGTTATTTTACCGGATAATTCGTTAAATAATTTGTAATGAATTGTTTACTTAAAATGTATACGTTAGCTTTTTATACATTGTAATCCTTGCTCATTCAGAGTATGATTAAGATTTCCATTTGACTCATTGTATTTACACAGGTGCGCGTTTACTTCCATATTAGTGTAGTTCTTATGAGACACTTGTCGTATTTATTCCTTGTTATCTTCAGGTCATATCTCGTCCTACCTCAATACAAATTCAGACCCTTTCACTATTTAAGGTCCCATTAAATTCGAAGCGCCCTCCACAGTTGAAATAATGTCGTTAAAGAACTTATTCTTGCCGAGGAGTTATGAATATGCCATTTTAGATTTTCGAGGCGGTGAATAATAAGATTTGGGTCTCAGAGGTCTACCCTGTCTTTTTCTCTGAAAAGGGGGGGGGGCATAAAGTACCTCCGAAATATTGGTACATGCCTACCAAAGTACATGGAGCCATAACCCAGAAGAACGCAATTTTAACGTGTTATAAATTTGTTCCCGGAAATCACGCTATTTCTTCTGAAATAACAAAATGCCACTCTATCTGCGAGATGTTATAACCTTAATACTCGTATTTCAAATGTGATTCCTCGTATTTTCGGTAGGTATGGGTTAGTATGAGGCCGGTCACGGTAGCCGAGCGGTCTAAGGCGTGCAGTGTCTTCGCTCGCTCGGAAGCCGGGATCGTGGGTTCGAATCCCACTCAGGGCATGGATGTTTGTGTGCGTTTTTCTGTGTTTGTGTACAGGTAGAGGCCTTGCGACGAGCTGATCACCCGCCCAAGGAGTCCTACCGAATGTGTTAGATCTAGAAAAAAAAAACCGAAGTGAACGGAGAAGTTCATGGAGGTAGGCCTAGGCCCACTGGGGCTGTAGTACCAAGGAAAAAAAAAGGGTTAGTATGATAAGGGGTTGTCGAATTAGAAAGCTTAAGATAGAAAGTAATTTCAGAGGAAGTGTGTCTCAGGGCAGGTCAACATCACTCGCTAGCTTCCAGGCATCAGGCACTGGCTTCTAGTGACTACTGGGAACGCTAGGAATAGTGTGGGTGTCATGTGCACGAATGTTAATATACAGGGTGTCTATATTGTTACATGTAGGGGTGACTATGGAATGGGGTTTGGATTGGGTGATTGGATTTATTTACACCTTATACACAGTACTAGGAGCTACAGGATATTACACGCTACCGCTGGTCTACACACCTTACAGTTCACTGTTACACACGTACTAGGGTTCTAAGGCTTCACTACTCGTATCCTGGCAGCGGATTTATAACCGTCTCACTGTCGCTTCAAATCACATGTGAAGTCTATTTTTCATCGACTAATCCCTTTCTTGCCATTACTTTGCAACTACCAACTCAATCGAATTTCTCTGCTCCCAAACTCGTATCCTGGCACGCTGGTTTCTCGGAACTCGAATCTACACTCTCTGCTTCTGCCAGCTTCGGAACCCTTCCTTATAACCACGCAGTAAATACAACCTCTCTGTTGGGAAGGCGTATTGGTAGCGCCGTTTCATAGCAACGGACGTTACTCGATTGTTGCTTGCGCATTCGTTGACGCGGAAATGTGTTTACCGAGTTGTTGCCTTCGCTGTTCTGGCTTTCAGGCGTCATGTCAATGTATGCATATTTGTGCATATATATATATATATATATATATGTGTGTGTGTGTGTGTGAATACATATGTATGTATGTATGTGTGTATTGTGGAGTATGTACTTTGCTTTGGCCTGTTGCTTTTGAGCGTCGCCGCTTTGCTCATGGTAAAGCAATGGGTATGTCAGATCGTAATGAGGGCTGAATGGCGTTCAGGGAGGAACTGGGACCACGAGGCGGCAGAGGTGAAACGGATAGGCACAAATTGTGATTGGAGGCAAGGGGGGGGGGATCACTGCATCACTTTGTTGTACAGACAAGGCCTTAATTCACTGGTTGAGTCGCTATATTAACACTATAAACGCACGCATGCAGGCGTCCCTGTGTATGTTTCTCAGAGTAACACGGAAGGCGAACTACAAGACACTGACTTCCGACGTTGCTTGGATAATTTTGTATGACGTATGTAATTTGTTTAATGTCGGGTCGAATGAATGTGTCTCTCAATAAAGCTGAAATGCGTACGCGCAAATGCACGTGCCTACGGAATCATCATGAGTTCTGTACCAGAGGCTTGTCAATCGTAAATGTGTAGACGCATGCCGTAAAGTGGCGCCTCCATCGTCGTTCCCGCGAACTCGTCGCAACTGACGAGGAGTAAATATTACAGTAATTTGTTTTATATGTAAAAGTATTCAGGCTTGACTGTTAGGAGATTGGTTCCTTGTGGTAAGTGATGCGCAGAGCCACTTCTTTCCACAGAGACTTTAATTAGTGTGGTATAATTAGTGGTGTGGTTGCTACGTTAGGTGTAGAATATAAATTAATACAGAAATCAACAGTGTTCCATAATGTGGCTGGCTGGACAGAAGAGAGATTCAGAACATTCGAGACAGATTGTTGATGTGCCTGAAGATCGTTTTCTCGAGACACTTAAAAATATGTAAACTGATGTGTGTATTTTCTTCATAATAATACAAGGTTGTTCA